ACAATTTGATTGTTAATTACAATATATCTGACTGTTTGTAAACATTTCCATCCATCGATAATGAAATTTTTTACAATGTAAGAAAATTCTTCATATCTAAGTAATTCTGTAAAATTTGTCAATTGATAAAGTAAGAGAAAGTTTCTTACCTTCTTCTTTTTTAATCGATTCGTTTCGCTAATTTTTTTGCTGCAGCTCTTGACGTTCTAAGGATTTCTTTCAATCGATTTCCATTCAAACCTCTTAGCACGAAAGAAAAACTCCTTATTTAGTTGTTTTTATCATAATATCAACTTCTTTGAAATTGATATATAAAAAATCGATTTGATCTCAAAGACTTACTGTTCTAAAAATTAAAGGTTTAATTAAATTCGAGATTTTGAATATATAAGAATCAATAATTAAAATATTTTTAGGAATCTAAAATACAAAAAAATAAAATTTGTAAAATTTAATATTTCTAAAATATGAATTTATAAAATATAAATTTAATACCTTATAAATCAAAGTTTATATTGAAAATAAATTTAAAATTATTGTAAATAAAAATGCTGATCATAATATTATAATATATAATATATATAATATATAATATATAATATATAATATATAATATATAATATATAATATATAATATATAATATATAATATATAAACTTTAAATTCTTTAGTATGGCTTCCAGTTTCTCTTATATTTTCATATAAATAGATTTTTCAGAGAAATTTATATCTTATTGAGAAATTTATATCTATCAAAATTTATATCAAGATTTCATTTCACAAATTATGATCTTAAACACGCTTCATGCTCTTCAGCATCGTTGGACCACATCACTTGCTTTTCCCTCTCTCGCATTCAACAATCACTTTCTTCGAGATTGCTCCGTACCGAAGGATCCGTTCTTCACTTCGCATTAATCCTACTCGAGAATCGATTGGCATCACTAAGGCCAGTCTGGCTATGCGGATCTATAGATTATCGTGATTGGTGTGGTGATCCAGCGCAGATATTTTCGATTTCGCTGGTGATGTATCGTTTCG